GAAAGGGCCCAGCACACCCACACCCCATGCCATCTCCCCTTGCCCAGCCCTGGCCCAGGTGATTCCTGGCTGGGGCTGCAATCAGGGCAGGTTGGACTCACCTGAGCCCAGAAGCCGAGAAATGCCTGCAGGCAAGTGCCAGCCTTCATGGGACTAGGCTGGTACTTACCTCCAGTTTAAGAGATGTGCGCAGCTGTGAAAGGCTGGGTGATTCATGTGAGTGTTTCTTGCTACCGGGGCCAAAAATTCCCCACCTGTGAGTTGGAGAACCCTTGGTAGAGGGGCTTGGCGGTGATTGGGCTGCTGTAAAAAGACCAGGGTTAGAAAAGTTGCATGGGGCTGGAGGAAGATGGGAGGGAGTGTGGTCTTCAGCAGTCTCCTACCCCTGTGCTGGGGCAGTGACTTGGGATAAATGAATCCCCCTCGTCAATCCACCCAAGTTAGGCGATCCTAGTGAGCCCTGGATTTAAAAGATGGATTGCGCTTGTGTTAATGTGACAGGTATTAGGAAACATGGGATTCCTGGAGAGCTGAAGATGAACAAAATCTGTAACAGTAATTTGAACAATCTAGTCACAATCTACCCAGAGTGCTACTCTCTTGAAATCACTCTAGAAAAAAATTCAATGGGTTACTCAAGTCAGGAATAATTAGATTTTCCTCTTGGTTACCCAGATAAAAGGAAGAAAGTCCTCATTTTAGAAGGTGAGAAGAGACTCCTGAAAATTAACTCCTAACTCGTGAAAATCAGTTTACTCTGATTTGCTCTTGTGGAGTTGTTCAGCTTTGGTAAACATCATCTCCCACTATGCTTACCCTCTCCTAGTGTGATCGTGCAGAATAATAATTTCCCTTTCCAGACTTAACTGCACTGGCCAAACAAAGTCTGAGGCTTTTAGGTTGGTTGGTTGGTTTGTTTGTTTTTTTAAAGTCTGCTCTTACATGAGCACATCCCCTTCTCCTTGGTGTCCTCTAGTGCTGGGGGCTGCACTCCCCTGGTCCGGCTGCCGCCACATCACTTCGCACCGGTGAGCTCCGTTCAAAATGATTTTCAATGTGGCCTGGCCAACGATGCAACGGTAGGCAGGCCTGTTTGTCTGTCCTTACTAGGTCTGGGCTAAGACACTTTGAAGTGTGCATCCCAGCATATGAAAATCTAGATATATTGCAGAAAAGAACTAAGTCTGGAAAAATTGTATTTCCTGAGAAAACTAACCAACTCTGACTGTTCAACGGAGCCTGGTACTTTCCAAAGTCTCCTGAAGCAGCTCCAAGCTGTGTGTGTGCTCTGCAAGGGAGCTGCGCGGATCAATGCTGCTCCAAAGCTGCACCCAACATACAGGCAGTGCTCTGCAGTGGTGCTGGGCTATTACAAATGACTCCATAGGTGATCCCCCCTGGACTTCTACAGCTATAACGTCCTGGCACCCACTATATGTCGTTAATGTATGATGGTCACACGCTTGTGGCCATCCTTCTTGTGCCATTTCCAAATCAGCCACGAAGTGATGCTCAGTGACAGACCGACACGGTGCAGCGCTCCTGCTCCTCCCGGCTCACACCACGCAGGTCTTCCCTGCGAAACCCAACCAAAGCGAGCATCAGGCCTCCTTCTTCTCTAACAGCGGCTGGATTTGGCATCAGGGACAGCCTCGTTTTTCAGTGCCTGCAGACAGACCAACCTCGCCTCTAACCTCGCCAAGAACAGCCTCCTCCGACCATCTGCAGGACCAACGGACAGACCTGGAGCCCAGCCTTTGGACCCATCAAAGGCACTTGCAACCTTCAAGGCCTTCCTGACTGTAGAGCAGTTATATTTTATTAAAGTAATACGATTATAGACAACAATAATTAGAATATTAAGGGCTATTACGTGCCATACACTATACCAATCCAAAGGATAACGTGGTAAACCAAAAAGCACCTATATTCATCTCGGACTGTACTAAAAAGTTGTGATAGAAGGTTTTTCTTTCCCATATTAGATAAGAATACTAATTCATTGATATTCACCATGCTAATGCATGTATTTTGATAATTTTTATACATGGCAAAAGTGGTATATAAATAAAGGGGATGTAATGGTTCCCCTCAACTGCTTCGAGTTTTTTGCATTATGTACAGGCTACACAAAAGCTGTTTAATTTTCTAAGCCCTGGCTCTGAGAACAGGCGCTTCCGCAGCAGTGCATCACTGTGAGCACAGGGGGGTCTTGGTTGCACCCACCCCAGGACCAGCCACGCTGCATCCGCCCTCCCTGCCCGCCAGGGCGGTGAGGGATCAAATCCGGATGGGGAGCAGCATCTCCGCTACCACCTGTAGCCAAAAGGAATAAACACACATCCCTAACAAGGTGCTCTCTTGTTTAAGTTAAAATCTAAAATGGTTTTGTTGTTTCTCATTGTTATCCAGGTTTGTAGTTCAGCTTGGCAAAACTATTTCTATCTAAGACTAGGAGCAGGTAACGCAGAGGACGAGCTCTGCCATCGTCTGAGGAAACTCCTGATGAACAACGAAAAGCAGTTGCTCCTGACAAAGTCATTTTTCTTACACATTAATAACAACAGAGGAGAATGTTTTAATTTGAGGCACCTGAAGCGAGATGAGGATTTGTTAAGGGTACTGTGAAATGAATAGGCCATAAAAATATAATTTTGGGATGAGGTCATACGCTTCCACAAACCTGAAGTGCTTCTCTGAAGGGATTTTACCTCCGTGACTATCAGGATTTTGCGCTACAATGTGCCTTAATACACACATTTCCTTCTGTTGTATCATGAGGCTAGATGTGTTAATTTTAATATTCTTCCATTTAAAATACAAGAAAACAGAGCCAAACTTGGAGGCTTTCTAACAAATACAGATCACCACCAGCACTGATCACTTCTTGTGTTTCCCAGGAAAATCAGAGATTATCCATTTGCTATCTTACTTGCACCATGACAAGGATTTCTGACATTGTCAGGAAACGCTAAAATCAAGCAGAATCCCCAAAATATTATCACCCCATTTTATTCATATTTGAAATAGGGGATGGCAGGCTAGGGTCTAGATATCCGCATACATTTAAACCAGAGAACAACACAAGGGGTACGAGCCACTGAAACAGAAAAGCTTCCACTCATAAAAGCCAGATCTCATCGGTTTTCTGCATCTTACTTTTTTTTTAAAGAAAAATTTGCAAAACCTTACGAAAACCCCCGTGAAGTCTGTCTATCAGGTCTACTGAAAGACTCGCATCTTTCTTCTGGGTGACTGCTGCCTAGTCCTACCACACTTGCAAGTGAACGGCGTTTGTCTCTACTTAATTCACGCTGGACTCCCGAGTCACGCAGGGGACGAAGCAAACCAGGCTCTTCCAGTGATGTAAAAATCACTGTTAAACAAAGCTGTGAGCGGCTATCACAAGTCTTGCAAGCCCTTCCAAATCAAATTCCACCGAGAATCTCGCACTCCAGCTCGCTCGGTCCTGAAGAGTAACCCTCGCTGGCAGAGGTGAGAAAGGCTGGCAGCATCCCTTTAACCGGGTAACGCTGACAGAGCAACGTGCTTCCTCACCCACACCAACGGCAGCTTTGGGTCAGATCTTGCTCTCCTAGAAATAAATGACGATTTTTTTCATGTCGAAGTTTGCAACTCTACATACGTTCTAAAACACATCTTACGTTAAGTACTCTTCTTTGAATTATTCTGAGTTCATTTTTCCAAAGCAGTAGAAAATATCTTTTATTTCCTGGATTACAAAAAATACCCAGTGCACATCTAAAGAAAAATACCAGTAGCTGGAGAAAATCAACACCACTCCTAGCGAATAGAAATCTATAAATCTAATGAGTAATAACTTAAAAATTAGGTCAACTGTGAAAATGATTATGATCACAGACAGAGGAGATTGTGTCTTTCCTGCAGCATAAGGGAAGGGATGCACTGATGTTCAGCAGAGCTGTGCTAATTTCTCTAGCCGTGATATCCTACCTTTGCAGTCAGTGACTATTTTGCTCTCAGTGTGCTCAGAACTCCAACTGATATTACTGGAATTTGCATACAAATCATGAGCAGTAGGAACTGTCTCTGGTTTTCTCTCTCTCAAGTAAAAATCATCAGACCCGCATTATTTTACCCGATATTTCAAAAAGTTTAGAAACTTAACCTCCCCATAAAATTGGCTTAAAATATTTATTAATTAAAAAAGTTAAATATTTATTTATACAAATATGATGAGAAAAATCTCATGCAGACTTTTCACATACAGTAACATAATTCAAATCATACTGTGATGGTTTTACAAAATATCTTCTTTTAGGAACTTTGACGGAGAAGTGTTGCTATCGCCTGTGTGCCTGAAAGCACCAGTCACGGTAAGTAGAAAGCTATTTCTGAAACGTAGAGTTTTCCTATGGAACATATGCCAAGATTTTCACACTCTTCACTAAGATTAACAATTAATATCTTATTACTACTACTCAGGAGAACTGGACAGAGACATATGAACACCGGGTAATGAAGTCCTGCATACCACCGTACCTCTAAACACTTGATGTCAATGCACGAAGTTTGCAAAAGGCTGCTTTAGAATTCCCCTAAATGACAAAAATATCTTGAGATTGTTATGGATGGCATCTGCTTCTGCTTAATTACAAATCTGCATTGGATTCATAATTTGTGTATATTACAAGTAATTTGCATAATTAAAACAATTAAGGGATTGACATATCATGGCAATCAGAAATGCATCAAACTCTGGATGTTGTACAAAAGAGAGCTTCAATATGAAACATTAATTCTTTGAGAACAAAATATCCTTCAGATTCCTGCAGAACAACCTTCACAAATTCAATAGATGTTCAAGAAACTCCGTTCAGAGAAAGTTTTTCTCTGGGATATCCGCTTCCCCGCCAAGCTGTTGCAAGGTTAACCCCCAACGCTTTTTAGCCTTCGCTTGAATTTCTGACTGCAGTCGCAGCACCGACTTGTGTCGTTATGGCCAGTTTCAGGAGTTTTTATCTCATTTTCCGTAGCCTTATCCTGTTTTCTTTGTCCCTCTTTTTAAGAATAAGTATGAACTGATTGAAAAAATGCTCTTGATCCTTCTTCTTCTGAACAAGGCGAAACCGCTGATCTCTTCCATATTTCTCTGCAAATTCTTTAAACGTCGTTCTGCAGAAAAGAGAGACATTTTAAAGCTGCGACTTTGTCAATCCCCTCTCAGACATTTTGACCTGGATCTCACTTCTGTTTTCACACAGACACTAAACCCAAGGGGTGTTCTGGGGAATATTTGACAGGAACGTGACCATAAACCCGGGACGAGGGAGGTGAGACCATGCCAGAACTGCCTGGGCTTTGGACTCACAGATCAGCCTGCAATAGCTGAATTCCATTTCTTGATTTAGAAAAATCTGGGTCACAGGTGACAGAACAATTTTGAATCATTAACACAATATTTGCTACAGCACAGGTTCCTGTGGCTTTAATCTATGCCTGCCAGTACTTATGGCCAGTATTTCAATAATGAGCCTATAACAGAGCAGAGAAACTCACCTGTGTCTAATTGCAGGCAATTACACTTTACCGGTCAGTAGTACACCATACCTGATGAAATACCATGCTAGGTTGATCTTTTCTAGAAACAGCAAAAAATTAATTGTAACTCTGAGTGATGGGCACAGCACAATTGAAATAATCCACAGGGAGCTTTGCCTGCGGATTTCATCATCAGGTCCAGCATTTTCCAGTGCAAACACGATATCTGAGAACAGAAACATTCGCTGGTATTTTTGCCTGGATGCCTTTGCATAGGTCCAGGTCTGAGAGCAGCACAGCGGGCACTATAAAGAATGGACACTGTAATTTGCAGACTAAGGGTTTTTCATTTAAACTTCTGGACTTGTTATATTTCCAAGGTGTGCATTCTTCTGGCAGCATTTTCTAGCGTAATTGCGTTTTAGGTTGCCTTCACAGCACCAGGAGAAATGACGGACAACTGGAGTTAATGAAGGAGAGGAGAAAAGCGATGAGGATAGGAAGGGCAGCAGCTCCCCATCAGCCAGGCCTGGCCGCGCAGCCAGAGCGGTGCGGGACCGGGCTCCCCGCGGGTCGGCAGTGATGGCAGGAGCAGTCGCTGACCCCGAGGAGAGGGGCAGGACAGCCTCATCCCAGCAACCTGGTCTGACCCTGTCTGTATTGCAAATATGAGAGAATTATCCCTGTCAATCCAGAGAAGCACACGGGGACACTGGAGATGCTACAGGTCCGTTGGTTTTCCTTGGGCAACACCGAGACCTGGCTGCTTTGCGCTCCAGCTGCTCCCAGAGCCGGTGCCGGGGATGACGAGCATCGCACGCCTCTGCCCGCCCTGCCCTCTGCACCGCGCCGCTGCCTCGCCCATCCTGGCCATCGCTTTGTTCAGTCACTGTGCTCCGCCACACGGATTCTGCAATACTTGTTGGCTAAATCAGGGCTCTAAGTAACGTGCAGCTCTGTAACAGTCGCTTGGGGAAAGGTCTGTTTTCTTTTTATTGGAAGTATTTTTGATTTATTTATCTCATTGCATCTCAAAATCAAGTCAGAGACTCTTGCAGGTAGATGAGTTTCTTTGATGCTGTGGTCTCGCAAGTCAGCTCAACAAAAACATTAATGGGTAAAATGTTCTCTGTCCTGTAGGCCAGCATGATTTTGCTCTTGCAGATCGAAAACATCATTGCTGGAACCAGCGTTTCACTGCTACAGAAGCCCAGAATATTCTCAGGTTTGTTCTAAAAACTTCTTATAATTACTACTTCTGTAGAGCCTGATGTGTCATTTGTATCTATGTGTCTAGGCAGGCAGTGCTGTACAATTACCTGCATATTTTAGTAGAGAAAACTGTAATTTCTTACTTCCAACAATTTAATCAGATTTTTAATACGTAAACCTTTATTTCCATAAAAGTTACAAATGAGAAAGCACTATCCTAAGCACTGCATTCGCTATTGCGGAGTTTTGGATCCATTACTTAAAAAGCAATGTAGAAAAATAAATTATTGCATTGCACGCTTTATTTTAATTTAGCCATGTGGCATTAATACTAACTTTGTTAAATTATATTTCTCTTCCATCAAAAACCAAACCTAAATATAATTTTTCACTAGCTACACCAGTATGCCTAATATAAATGAGACTGAACATTCAGGTACTGATTTAATGTAACTAATACATATGTGTGTGTGTGTGTGTGTGTGTTCTATAATTATAGCACACATATGCATATAAAATAAATGTGTTACTCAAAATATTACACATTCTGAATGAGAGAGAGTGAGAGGGGGAGAAAGAAACAGAGACAGAATGTTCCCTTTCCCAGTAGTCTAACAAAATACTGTAAAACATTAGGGAAGACATATCAACACAGCACGGTAACAATAGATGTACAATCTCGCTATAAAGAGTACGTTCAGCGTTAGGGCATTCTGGGGCTGATAAGCACAGGCTAAATGAGAAAGCTTATCTTAACAAATCTTCATAAGGCAATGCCATACCTTGGCGATAACTTGGATTCTTCCAGGAGCTTTTTAAATTCTTCTTTGGCTAACAACAATTTATTTTTCTTTTCTTTGTACTCTTCTCTGATCCTGGTCTTGACAAACTGTTCAAATATCTTTCCAAGAAAGGGAAACAAGACACAGTATTTATTAACAAAGCCTTTATGGTATTTATGCTTGATCAAAGGGCTGTCAGTCTCAAGCACTGCAGTTCTTATCTGCCCTCAGTATTGGCTGACTCGCATGCAGCTGAACCTGCTTCATGCGGCACCGATTGTGTGATCTCACAAAATAAGTAGCTGGAAAAAGGTATAATTTGGACAGATAACATCTTCATTCAAACATCAAGTGCAACATAAATCAGAATTTCCTGGCTTCAGTGTCTTGCTCGCATTTTCATGCCTACAGCATTGTTTTTGTGCATCTGTACAACTGACTGCAGTTATTTAGTCTGGATCTCGCATCGTTCCCAACATGCTGGAATTCCTGAAAATGTCTACAATGCTGAACATCAATATTCTCTAGGTTACCCCCAAGAAAGCCCTAAGACTTTTCAAATCAGTTGTCAAAAAACACAAGCTTACACGTGATCCTCTGTACACATACAGCCGAAAGCTTTAATGCGTTTGGAATGGTCAACAAGCTTCCTTTAACGGTATTTTGCAGTTAAATGTGCAGCAGGGAGCTCAGCATCAGGATTTCTGGTGTCTTGAGAAGGAGTTAAGTAGTTCACTATGTCACAAAATTCTGCCAACTGCTTTAATCGCAGTTTTAATACCAAAAAACTGACCCTGCTGGGTTCAAACTCTAAAAAGTGTGGCTCACACTAAGGTGTAGAATAAAAGGAGCTGCTCCTCAAAATGCTATTAGCTTTCCATATTCGCCATCCTTCCACCACCAAGTACATACATAGTGCTACCACAGTTGTTTTCTCATCAGCCATGAGGATGCACAGGTGCAAATCTACATTTCATGAAAGATAAAGTAACGAAATTACAATTGGTACTTAGTGGGTTAGGTGGAAAAGGGAAGAAACAGCACTGGAAAAGTAAACATTAAAAAATGGTCATGAAAGAAGTACAAAAATCCTAGGAAATCTAAATATATCATACCATACGCAATTTCATAGATTGCATAGATTGCAAAATAGAGTGTAAGAGGAGATGGAAAAAATGGAACAAATGAAGTAGGTGACACTGTTATTGCTTGCCTTTCTGGTATCAGTGAAGCTATTAAGAAGGTAATAAATCAAAATTAACAGATAGCTCATTATTTTAATACAGTTGCTCCTTTACCCTTCACTGTTCCTTGCTTAGTAGCATCTTTCAACTGTTAATAACTGCTTGGAAAATATTGGTAGGGAAGCGGAGTAAACGGCAGACGTTCAATAACAGATCGTTATGTTCCTCAGGCTGTGTAAGGACACGCACCAACAGCAGAGCTCGCACTCCTGGAAGTCAAACCCACCTCAACACAAGTTCAAGTCAAGAGGAAGGTCCCTCAGACGCTTGCAGATCACCGTCAAAGCACTTTCCCTGCCCTTTCCAGCCGATCTGCCTGACGGCGCAAAGAAGAAAACCGCAGTACAGCCAGCCATCTTCCAGCACTCACCCATTCCTTCCTTCCTTCCTCACTTTCACTGGGAGACACTTTTCATCTCTAACCCCCTCCAACATAAATTCATTTGCATAATTAAAAAAAGTACTCAGATGCTCGCTATTCAGGCCACACAGTCAGCATCCATGAAGGTAAATGTTTCCATAAATCTAAATAATGTCTTCTACTAATTTGAGTTGCACTTCAAGAAGTACTTTCATTAAATCAGGCATCTACTCTTGTCTAACTTTCTTCTTAAACTACTTCTTGGAGGAAAATGGGGTCTAATTAAATGGCACTACTCATAATTAACATCTAGAAATCTTAACTTCAGGCTTAGTGCCTAAAATACGTTACACACCTGGCATGTGCTCCCAAATTCCTGGTTTTTTAACCCTGTTTTGCAGAAGAAGAACCCTCACCCTCTTCCACCTTAGCTCTGAGCCTGAATTACTGTCACTCTCAGAGCCAACCTCTACCTGACCACAGGTTCCTTCCTACAAGGCCGCCAACTACTTGCTTCTCGTAACCCTCTCCTTGAGTATTAAATATACTCCACAAACGAGCTCCCCCTCGGCAGTGCTTCAAGCACATTATATTATGTGTATTCACAATGTATTTTTATTATATCATCTCCAAGGCTGATAAAATGAAAGAAGTAATATATCTTGATTGACTCATCAAGGTCTAGGTTTTGTCCTTGCTGATACTCTGAAATAAATACCAAACTCCCTGCTTAGTCTCTTGTCTAGCAGTATTTTCCATTCTAGCAATTTCTCTTACATTTTCATTCCCATATTTCCTTATTATTTTATTTCATTCTTTTTCTTAGGAAAGAAAATATTGGAAAGGGAGTAAATGAAGATGTATGTGCCTAGCCCCTCAGCAAATACCTACAGGAAGCTCTCTGGAGAATCACAAGACAATATGGGCCCCAGTGCAAGGGAGTAGGAATAAGTACATTTTTCATCGTGTTCATTTAAAAAATGGACAATTCTGTATTCAAAACTCTTCCTTCTCCAGGATGACAAAAGACTGGTAAGGAAGAGAAAGAACTAGAGAATAGAAGCATTCACGACCTCTGCAACATCCTTGCATCTCTTATAAATTTTTTATACTAATCTGCAGCCCTCAGGTCCTTTTAGATCCCTAGTGATAATTAATGCCCAAATAAACAAGGCAGCAAAAAGTCCACTCCCCTTTGCAGCTTGCCAGAAAAATGAAACCCTTTCAAACAGATACCAGCATAGCCACAGTGCTCTATCCATTTATGTCTAGCAAGTTCAGTTATTGCAAAATATAGCAGTAAATACTACCAAACTCCTAGAAAATATTCTAGGTAATAAAAATGAAGTAGTCTCTCTATATTTAAATAATTCAGAGCGGAAACATCACCTTATGGCCACTTCCCTTTCTACAGCCCAGTTTCCCAGACTCAACAGGGGTTGTTCCTACAACCCAAGAGATCGTAGCTCGTCTCTGTGCAAATTCACTTGTTACCACTTGCTCTTCAAGGAAGACAGCACTTTCTTATGAGCAGAGCCTAAATTATGAGTCGCACTGAAAAACTCAAAAAAGAAATTTTAATTTTATGCATTTTTTTTAATCCTACCAAGATGACTACTCTGTTATTACGGTTGATTTGGGAGAGGTTTGCTGCCAATCAGAAGCTATGCTGGAGGTAACGCTCACCTGTTTACGTTCCTCTGAATTTAGCAGAAGGTAGCGTGGATCAAATACTATTTTGTGTAGCTCTTTTTCCCATGTAGAAAACGCTGAAACCTGTGAAGTACACAAACACAGCTGCATTAAGGAATTTTAATAAGGATGTGAAAGAAGAAAATGTTCCAAGGTGAAGCAAAAGAGTAGTTCAGAAAGCTAATGAACCCTCTAAAGGATGCCTCAGAGCGGTTGGAAGTTGAATTTTAATCTGTTCCTGGCAACGCTCTGGTTGCCCCCACACCATTAGTATTGATTTGCTCTAGGACATCTCAGTGAGTATCTGGGAGACGCTCATTCCCCATTTTTGATGGAAAGAATCTGTAGTAGAAAGGAAAATGTCATTTTATTATCCCCTTTCTACAACAGAAGCATCGATTTTTATTTAAGCAATTATCTTAGCTTTAACTCCCCTCCTCTCCAAAACTTAAACTATAACCCAACGGAGGCTGTCAATGCATGCACGTGGTGAAGAACTAATAGTGAACATCTTCAAAGCACCATGTTTTTGTAGTAAATGTGTCGCTTCCCTCCAACAGCACCGCTGTCGCATCTCCATTTTGAGGCTTCTCCCCTTTTCCACTGAATCCAGCTCTCCAGAGCGGGACCCTGGGCATCCACCCAAGCCCCATGCATCACTTACATTCCTGCCGCCACATGAAAGGAGAATATCACGCTCCTACAGAGGTTCTTCCATCTACTCTGAAACCTCTTTATGGTGAGTGGGCCGTAAGGACCACCACGAATCTGACCAGGACCCTCACTTGCCCGGTCCCTTTTGCTCGGGAGTTTTACAAAATGACAGTCTGGGAGCGTAGGACTGAAATCCCCAGCCCGATTTCAGTACCTTGTACAACATCTCTGTTAATTAGTTTGTTACAGAAAAATCCAGAGTACCATAAAATATTCTAATCACTCCATCTAATTACAAAGAAGAGTAAATTCACTAAAAAAATTAAGTTTATGAAGTATAATTAAAATAATTAACACTCAAGCAGGAAAGGTCTGATGAAGCAATGTGGATTTAAATGGACTGTTTTTCCTCTTAGAGTGGTGAAAAATTGGAAAATTCCAAGTTCAGGCTAACTTTCCAGATGTGCAGAGATTCAAGGTTGCCTCCTCCAAACATCACCTTCTCGCAGCTTGCGGTTTGCCCTCCGTGCCCACGCAGCTGGTGAAGTCCTGAGGTTTGGGGTTCTTCCACCTTCGGAAGGATCAGCAACAGGAATCCCTTTTTTGCAGGGTGTCTTTTATACTCTCTGTGGGACATCAGCTTCGTTCCCAGTACAAAGGCCAGTTTGAACTCAAAGCTAGTTAAGCTCGGGCTAATTCATAGAATCATAGAATCATTATGGTTGGAAGAGACCTCAAAGATCATCAAGTCCAACCGTACACCTGATGCCACCATGCCCACTAAACCATGTCTCGAAGCGCCACATCTAAACGTTTTTTGAACACCTCCAGGGATGGTGACTCCACCACCTCCCTGGGGAGCCCGTTCCAATGCCTAATGACTCTAACAGTGAAGAAGTTCTTTCTAATGTACAGCTTTACATTTATTTAATCCTCCAGATTACATAAAATCATCATGTAATCATTCCTGTTTATGATATTTTGTTTAGTAATTACCGCATTTCACATACTGCAGACACACACCTAAAATAAATGTTGGCTACCAATATTTATAATTTAATGCTAGCTACATGTCATACGCTTTTCAGGATACTCATTTTGGAGTTCTGCAAACCCATATAAAATATTAATATTCTGACTAATCTCCTAACGTGTATCATATTGTGGTCTTCTTCCCTATTATGGGACATTCAACCGGGGAACACATGCACTGGGGACGGTGGGGGTGGCATCTTTTCCCCCAATAAATGAGGACTTCTGTGCCCTAGTATTATCACAGACAAAAAGAAGAGAGATCTGAGCTTGTCGTGGGTTTCCAGTTCTTGGCTCCTGCTCTTAACCAGAGTGCAAAGTACAGGGAAAAAAACTCACAACAATTCAATGTATTGAGTTTGAGCAGTATGTTTAGAAGCGAAAGGACACCTATCCAAACAGCTGGTTTTAATTTTAACTCACTCTGGAAGCCCAGCAATGATGGGAGGTTGAGACTTTGGCTTTGACAAAAAGATTTATAAGAACAGAAAGGTGAAGTGTCTGGTATTTTCAGCGGATGCATTTATCTTCCATCAGCAAAGGATTCGCAGCTTTCAGAAGATGATGTTCTGGCAGGGAATGATGTCCATCCCGGACACAAGCTACGCAAACACACAAAAACCAGTAAGAAGGATGGAGTGGCAATGGGCTGCAAGGAGGCACCCAGGTCGGCAGCAGCAAGGACCACCCTGCGCCCCAGCTGGGAGCTGACCAGCGACCCCCTTGAAAGATATTAAAAAGTGGGATTCAGTGGCTTGTCCTTCTAGGAAGGGGCTCTTTGGGTCTGTCTGAAAAAAAAGGCTGGGGAAAAAAAAACCAAAACCCAAAAAACCAAACCTATTTCTCATTTCTTTTTTTTTTTTTTTTTTTTATTTTATTCTTTAGGGTAACGCTGAGGCTGCAAGAACTGTTTTGAGATAGGAAGGAGGGGGTGAGGACAGCCCAAACCACCTTTTTCTCCCCAATATTAAGAAGGTAAAACTTTGAGGAAAAAGTACCATTTGGATTCCTTTTAAAAAAGTCTTGTTTCACTGACAGCATCCCAGCAAAGAGAAGACTTTCCTAGAAATGCAGACCGCAGAAGGTGGATATTTTGATGCTGTGGTTGTGAGGAAGCCAGGTAGAGGCTTGAATTTCCCCCTTTCCCTCAGGATTTTGTGGGAATTTTTAAAGTTCTAGGAGGATATCAGAGATTACATTTTTACATAGGAAAACTTGTCACAGATTTAAGAACAGTGCCATTGTCTTGGAGCTACACCAAAAATCACATATATTTTTTAAATGTTTCAATAAATATTCTTCTGTTGACATAATTTATGTAGGAAGATTCAGAACCACGCTGAAGAACTCCATCTCGTTCAAGCTCTTTGCAATGTCATCAAGTAACTTCTTGAGAAATAACAACATTATGAGAAAATGGCAGGAGACGTTCATTAAATAATCGGTTTAAAATAACACTAATGGCCTCACTGCATCTCAAACAATGCCAACCAGCTGGTGCTAACCTGCGGCTCACCTGGACATTTAAAAAATGCTCAGGATGAAAGCAAAGTAACCTATTCTCTATACATTTTTAAATAATAGCAAAACCAAACAGTAAATTTCCTGAATTTCTTATTTTTATGAGCACGTCTGACTCTTACGCTAGAAACACTTGAGGAATCCTATTACAGAACATCCCTAATACTTTCAAATTTTGACTTACTGCCCCCTGACTTAAAATATGCCACCAGAAGTCTTTAACCAATATTCATTTATGGCACTTCTGCATTTTTTAAGCATAAATAACAAAATGTATTAATAAAGCAGGTCTGGCATGGAGATAATTTACTGTTGAGCTTCTGAAGCTCTAATTATCTACCCTTAAAGTCTGCTGCTTACTAGTGATAGATTTTATAGGCTTTACTACCTAACAACAGACACCTTGGGTTTTTTTTTCTTTATGGAAATTATATGAACTTCTATAGAATACAAATCTGCAGAGTGTCGGAGGCAGGTATAAAAATCTGCATACGCTGCTCCATTATACACCCATTTACGTTTGCAGGATTAGGACTTAGACCCGGTATGCTTACTAATTCAATTCACACTCAAAATCATGAGTTTTCTGGAAGAAGGGACACTGTGAGATGAACTTTCGTGAAGGTGATTTTATGTTTATAAATCACAGTATCCAAAATTCCTCATATGGACAGTGATCTTTACACGGCCAGTTCAACACAGGTTTGTAAGTGCTACCACAGAAAACAAAAATCAGGCTGAAGCTCTTTACGAAATGAGCCACCGGATGCTATTACACGATCTGTAATCCATATTTCACCAGTGGTCACGAGGCTCACGGCGCTGATGGCTTCTATATGCAAATTGAATTTATGCTCCATCTATCGACTCATAATCTTGACTAAGTCATGGTAAAAATGGCTGTAACAACTCTGAGCCCTCCCGTAACCAGTACCAGCTCTGCAGCGGCCAGGACTGGATGGATGCAGAAGGGAATGATGCTCCAGGTGCTCTCGTCTGCCTGGCTGCCAAGGGGCCACCTCTTCTCGTCCCCATCCAGCCACAGTCCTGAGCCTCCCACACTCCCGCACCTCAGCCTCAGCCTCAGCCGGAACCACCAGCTCTTAACCACCAGGTCTTCCCAAGGAAGTCCAAGGCTGGTCAGGGAGGTCCAGGGAAGAGCAAAGGTTTTCTTAACACTCCTGAGACTCCAGAACTTCCTTTCCTAACAGACTGGGTGGATTCTGGATGGCCAGTCAGTAAATTTGGCTTCCCACTGCTGAGATCATTGGAGTTTGTGGTGATGAAATCTCTCCCATGCTAAAACAAAGCAAAGAGCTTGCCAGGACTATTTCTGAGCCCGGCGCTGTCTTTCAGGCGATGTACATGACACATCTTTTGCTCTTTGTTCATCATGCCTGGGGTCTGTGTGGGACCCCCGGGGACGGCATGTGGCTACGGTCCCCATGCCCCGCTGAGCCACAGGTCCGTGCGGGAAGAGCTACCACCCCCGGTTATCTTTGGGTCTGTCTATAGGAATTTCTTTGGAGCTGCACCTGCAAAGGGCTTTCAGTTCTGCAAGGCCACGTCTGACTGGATGGCAGCGGAAGAAAAGTCACAGCCTGGTACCACAAAACCAATATGCTTAACAGACAGAAAACCCCCTCTCAGTAATTCTTCATTTGACTGCTAATTCATAGTTACGAAATGATTTCTGTCATGTTTCTAGATGATGCTCTATTTTCATAAATGGGACATGTCAAAGAAAGCAAGTGTATTTCTTACCCCTCTCTCCAGAAGCATGTCTCGGAAATGAGTGATGCGCTCTTCTAGGGGAGGCGTGATCTGAGGTGCTGATGTTTCCTCACTTTTCTCCTCTGTTTCAGCCCTCCCCTGGTCAGCAGCTTGGGAATCTTCTGTTCTTTAACAAGGTAAGACAGAAAATAGTTCAGTAACTGTCAACTCGGGAGGGGATTCTCAGCCCTCTCTAGAAAATCCTCCTGGACGCAGGACTTCTTGGCGTGCACGGAGCAGCCGGGGAGCGGGTGCCGACAGCTGAGAAGTGACCCAAACCCGCGGTTCGTTATTAAACCGCGGGGCGTGCGGGCCCTGCCAAGGGACCGCCGACAGCTCGTTGTGTGGAAGGATGGTCTCTCGGTGTGATCAAAGAGGAACTCAGCAGTGAAACGGCACGCTATATTTCAAGCTACAGAAAAGTGACAGCTTTATATAAAATTTGTCAAGGAGTGGAGACTTTAAAGGAGTGACTGAAGAGACTCATCTTGTTTTATTTTTCTTTCCTCTGTTTTTGTGCCCCTAAACCTGAAAATCAACACTAATCTTTACTTTATGTTCCCATGCGCCCCACGAGCTCGCTCCTAAGGGAAGTAATCCGGCAATGCATCGCACGCACAAACCTGCAATAAAGCACCAGCGAAGAACCTGCCCTTTCTCAGCGCCAGAAGGTCTCTATTTATCCTGACAGCCTTTTTTCAAGATTGCATCTGATTAGAATAAATAGGTGTTTCCGAGACAACACTTACTACTTACTGCCTGAGCCCTTTTGGTTACCAGCCACCCAGGGTAAGGGCAGGTCCGTGGCACCGCTGTGCTCATTTCAGGCAAGGACAGGTCACGGCAAGCTGCGCCCATGAAGTGGCAGCAGCCAAGAGTGATGCTCTCCTCGGGTGCAATCCTACATAATTGGTGTCATCGCTGGAGCTGAACTGTTTCACACCAGGTAAGTATCTACATAATTTTATTGGAGTTAGAGGCCATTAACACCGCACTCTCTCAGCGCTGGAAGCAAACACCTATTTCCCCACTGTCGGGAGGGCTGAAGATTTGCCCCTGTGTGCTCTCAGCATCCGCAAGGAGAGGTTAATGAGATGGGAACCTCGAAGGTGGGAAGGGGTCTGCTTCAGGAGGTGATGGGATTTGAGGTGGGGATACAAAACCCCTGACTTCAGAGAAGGTGCCCAACTCAGACCTCAAAACCAGACTTCTGCTCTGGGTCCATCCTGCTGTTCCGCAAGGCTTTGAGCAATGGATGGGTTCAGGACAAGTTAAGGCTCTTTCTGGAAAGATCAGGAGACTTAACATGATCACAAGGTTCAAGTGAGGATAATGGAAGTCAGGCGATTTGATTTTTAGCCTCCTACTAGGCAAGACTACATTTTCTACTGATGTAATTTTCACCACTACAGAATAATACTTAGTTTGAAATTTCAACAGGAAAACACTTTTATTTCCAAGCAAATGAATTAGATCAGTATGTAACGTGAGCCCTAGCGCATTATCTTCCTTCTACAAATAATTACATTACACTTGCATTTATCCTAAAATGATGCTGTGCTACTAGTGGTTTGAGAGATATCAAATTGGTGTTCCTCACAAAACAAGTGACTTTTATATCGTAATAGCAAATTTTATTCTGTGACATGATCCATGAAAGGCCCAATCCAATTTCTAGTACACACAAAGAGCTTTTTCAAGCCGAAACTGAGAGAAATACAGTACACCACTCCATCAGCCAAGCACCAGAAGAGCCTCTCTTACCTTCAGTGCTCCTTATGCCATTGAAAATGATGCTGCAAATCGCACAGACTTTTTTCTCATGCCAAAAATGACAATAAATCATATAATTTTCTTCAGCAAATAAGACAATAATCTGCACGAGACACTACGTGACTTCCTATGCAGAAGGACACATATGGGCAGCCCACTACCACAATGCTGGAAGCCTGCAAGTCTCAAAATGCACAGGGCAGTGAGATGTTTTTGTATAACTCTGGTACCCACTGAAAGGAGAAGAAGTAATTGGCACAAACTGAAATACAGGGAAATCCATGTAAGTGTGAAAAATTTTTTTTTTTTACTATGAGGATGGTCGGATATGAGGGCAGGCTGCCCAGGGAGGCTGTGGGGTTCCATCCTTGGAGATGCTCAGCTCCCCCAGGCAAGTCCTTGAGCAACCTGTGGGGAACAGCAGGGAGGGGTGGGGGCAGAGACCCCCAGCCCTTCTGTCATTCTGTGAAGAAACCCCAGAAAACCTAAGTTTCTCTGAAGATTGTTTTTCTTTTGCATAGAGTACAAACAGAACATTGCCCGAGTAAGACTGACTGGAGTATTTTTAAGCAGTTTCATTATATGTCAAGGAAATGTAAATAAAAGTGCAACAGCAGCTTGTGAAGCCCAAAGCTCCTAAACCTGGGGGTGCAGACCGCGCTGGAAGCCCCGGCCAGAGGTTGTGCAAACGCCCAGGAGAGAGCGAAGGGAGTCCTGCGAGCTCCTGCAGCCAGTCTTGGGTCAGCACCTCCAAAGCAAACCGCAGGAGAAGGGAAACAGCAGCTCTGTTCTTACCAACGTGACCCGGTGATGCTGCCGGCACCGCTGCGTGCTGACCCTCTACCTGAATTATAAAGGATTGTGCTGGCACTTTAATGCAATTAGATCTTATCATTAGCACAGCGCTTTCTGTAGAGCAGATGATTTACCATACATCAAAGGAGCAGTATGATCTACTAAGTAACTTTACTTAAATTAAATAAAATAGAATAGGGAATAGAGCATATTTAAAAACAAACCCTGAAAGCCTGTAAAACCTCCTTTTTTAGTTATATTTAACCAAGAAAAAATGTCAATATTGCAAAAATAAGTGGATAATAGCTGGGGGAGGATAAAAATGGGGTTCAATTCCCTGTTCCGCCGCAGATGTCAGGTGCAGGGCTGTGAATGTTGGGCTGCAACCTGCCTTCTGCTTGCGGTCGATCTCTGTGCACACCGAGTCCTGCCCGGTGTGGGAAGACGGTGTGCTGAGCCTGGCTGGGCACCGCGGGGCTGGGCTCCATGCCACTGTGGCCCCACGCGACCACCCAGCCCAGGCACCTGCAGGGGACAGATGTTCTGAGCATCACAGTCCGGCGGGATGGTCCTGCTCCCTACCTCCCAACAGCACTCTGTCTTAAAGGGAGGAAAACAGTCGCTGTCTTCATATGCAATTACTACTGTGGGTATGACAGCAATATAAATAGTTTTTCTGTAAAGACAAATCTTTTTTTCACCTCTGAATTCAGTCCGGAGCGAGCAGCACTTTGCCCGTTCCCAAGTAAAACAAAGCAGAGGAAACAAAGTCAGGTCTGGACCTCATGCACGCAACTTGGAAGATGAAAAGCTGGCGATGCATATCCTCTTATCCAAAACTCGGAGCTTAACCAGCACTTTAGTAGACTCTGCATCTTTAGAATTCCCCTCGCATTGTTTATGGCATGGAATAACTTGGCTGCTTTTCTTACAAGGAATTACGGGCCACTTTTTTTAACTCAGCTCTGCTTTTGGCTGAGTAATTCAGACACACAGAGATGTAGGTAACTGAGACCCACGGCATTAAAGAAACAGCAATATCGGTTCCAAACGCTGACGACAGCAGCGATTTTAACTGCTGTGCAAGCCACCATTACCAGCTCTCAGCTGCGGGGAAGGGAGGCTGCCCGCTGCAGTGGATACCCCGCCGGGCGGTGGGACGACTCAATCACAGTAATGAAAATAATCTTAGTATAGGAAAAGAGTTTATACATGATTTTCTTTCTGAGAATAACTAAATTCTAGTTCAAAATTAAAATCCTACAATATTTTACTTTTTTATGTCATGAACTGTTAGCTATAGTCTTCTATCAATACAGTTAAGCAAGCATTTAGACTGCATTTCCTTAGTAAAAAGTCAGTATTTCAAAGGTCCATCCATGAACCTCTACGTTCTGCCATTGTTTCAGGGTACAAAGCAAAATGTCAGGAAATCTTCACATGTTATAAAAGAGAATTTAAAATTCAAAACAGCTGTAGAAATCATGTAGTCATTTGGGGATGTATGCTCTGCTGACAGAAAAATAAACACTTTACAGCTTTTTGGTGAGAGGTCTAACTTCTGGGGAATTGGGATCATCACAACAAAGTCTGAGAAAATGCTACGTTGTCAACCCAAATCTTACTTGTTTATTATACCAATGTCACCCTTGAGTTTCATAGGACTAATTGCCCAAATACAGCTAATAAGAATTGGTTCCTGCTAATGTGAAGATTTATTTTTAAAGATTGAACTTATGATACGGTTCTCGGAGCTTTAAACATCCTCTCAATGAGTATCTTGTCACAAATTTCAAGTATGATAAAAGCTGTATTATTTGTTATACCATACAGAAATATAGCATAATATAAAGACAAATGATGACATAAATAGCAGGTGATACACAATCATTACCACATGCTATTTAGCTTTTGTGGCATAAAGTCACAGCTGAGAGTAGTTTGTGTTGCCTATGACTCAAACAAGCTTTTCAAGACCCAAAGCATGACGTCCCATCCCACAAATGCTCTTTCCCACGCGAGACGCCTTTGCAGCACCGGCGGACACTGCAATGCTGTTTTGCCGCCCGTGCCGCAGCAGACATTGCTGGCAATTGGAGGTGCTTGCGACCGCGCTGCGGGATTTCTGACATGACTGCACGTCTAGCTGGACAGCTGCATGATTTATGCTTATACATGTATATATATGTATCTATGTATGTATAAATATATACCACAAGAAAGATGCTATAATGCCTTAAGGCAGGAGAGTCACTCAGCAACTCCGCAATGGGCTGAGATTGCCCAGCTTGAACGGCACTTACATATTTGCTTTGGGGAAAAATAAAATTGTTTCAAAATGTATTCCTGCAAGTAAATAAAAATAATAAAAGAGAAATTCTGCAAATATATAAAAAGATGGTCCATACTTGGCTCTTCACAATTTTGACAATGTCTTTTTGAATGTAATGAAAACAAGAGACTAAAAGACCCAAAGTTAGTCTTTCAAGAGTGAATAAATCGTGGAATTGCAATGAGGATGGGCCAATATTCCTTATTCTCAAGCAGACAGCAAAAGAGGCACTGCCCGACCTTCCGACACACAGCACGGTAAGCACAAGCCTACTTTGACACAGTAATCTTTGAGTAAGTGCGTTTTTCTAGAGTTTATGAACAACCTTCTGGAGTTTTAGAATTCCATGTATGTACATTAATGGAAAGACATTTTCACATTTTCTGAACCAGTCACTAAAGGGAATCACCTTAATTGCACATGGAAAATATCCCCAGGTCATAATACTGGCCCATTATTGTCAGACCCACCGACATCAATAAAAGTATTCTTAAATATTTTATATCAAATATAAACTTTTATACTGTTTATGAATACTAAATACTATGTAAATAGTATAAGTACATATTTAGAATATATAAAGTATAAATATACCGTCTTATACCAAGCATTAAATGCTTAAATAGTCTAAGTATTCAACTTGGGAGTATCCTATTCTTCCTTCATAATAATACAAATCCACAGCAAGTCTTAACGAGGTCAAAAGAGCCACCCAATGCAGTAGGATAAGCATGGCAATATAAGAGAGCACAGAATTATCTTCAACATATTCACTTGGAAAATACAGAAACTTGTTGTGCTTACTTGTCACAACGCCCTCAAAAACGCGACACGCTATCTACGCAGATTTATTTTACAGACTTATTTTTTCAATAGTCCAGATCAGTATCTTCATCATAGCCAGCCTGCACAAACAGCAAATGTCATATGCAGTTACTGGCCAAAGGTTCAATAGAATGAAATACCTCTAAAGTACTCCTTAAAACAGAATCGTTTACTTCATTTTCTTGCAAATTGTTTTGGCATTTTCTTGTTTTGGCAAAGGCTGAGGGAGTTGCTTATTTGCCACGTGTTTTTTTTCTGCCTGTTACTTCATGAGAATTTGAAACACACACGGTAAGAAAGGTCAAACAAAAGCACAATAACAGAAATACCTCTGGATGTTTCTGAGCAGGTAGCCTGGAAATCCTGACATCAGAGGAAAAAAAATCTATTTCAATGAAGACAAAGCTTTTATCCAATGTCTTTGAAATAAATACATATCCTTACAGTCTTTTTTTACCCATTTCAAAGTAAGCAAGAGTTACTCAGACAAAAATGGACGGTGTTCATGGGAAACAGAGATTGTAGAGAATCATGGAGTTTGATGAAGATTGGATACCTTAAGAATGACTCTCATAATTTATTGGTGTAGTTATCCACAGAGAAGAAAAGAACTGTATTTCTCTTTGCACTTATTTGCACCAGACGTTAGCTTCCCAACATTACATATAGATAAGTAAACTTTAGAACTTACTTATTTCTCTTAGTTTTGATGCTAAGATCATCATTTTCATCCCCTGGACAAGAACTAACACACTTGTCTGCTAAAAAGAAATAAATAGTTATTAGATTTGAACTAGATAAATGGGAATACAAATTCCTCAAATTAACCTTTCATTTCTTGTCTTTGGCTGCCGCTCAGGTATTTACTATTTTTCACTCTCCACAGAGTGTTTTAAAAATAACGCATATTTCATCAGATCTTCAGAACTGCTTTCATCCAAATGAAAGTGATAGCAATAAACCCGACCATTTTCATTCTGAAAAATTACTCATTGTTCAGTTGTGACATGATTGTTTTAAATCTTGTCATTGTTTCACCCGATACTCCCTCCTCCCTTCCCTTAACAAAGACATTTCTGCAAAATTGTTTCGGTCCTGGCAACCTGAAAGATTCAACAGTGCTAACTCACACCAGAACTTCCCTCCTTAGCCCATTTCTCTTTCTAAGCAAATAAAATGCTGATTTTCCAGAAATTCAACCACTAGTACAGCAAGGCTATGGAGGTACCAACAGCCTCCACGCTCCTGATGCTGCAGAATTACCCCAAGGCAACATTAATGCTCCTGGCTTGGCCTGGACACTCATCCTTGAAGGACTCTGAGGTTACACTGTCAGTCATAACGACTGTGAGGTACAGAGAACAAATATTCTGGAAATTATTTTTTTTTCCATGTATACAAATTGCAGTTTTCATCAAAACTCAAAATGGACAGACCACCAGAAGTCATGGCCATCCAGCGCTTGGTTTGTGCTGGGGACTCTTCAGTAGTTCACCACAAATTACTGGAGAAATATAAAAATCAAACTGTATGTGGTTAGCTTGGGAATATCAGAAACACCAAACCTCAGCCTTTTTGTATTAGACTGGTAATGAAGACATGTCTTGCTATTTAGGAAACTACAAAAAAATAGATTAAAACTAAATAGAAAATTGAACTTAAGTTATGGAGATAAAAAGTTTGAGTAACTTGATATGGTGAGATCTCATCTCACTGAAATCGGATGAAACTCCAAGACAACTGCTAGGACATGGGTCCAGTCTTTGTATCACTGAAGCTCACAGAAATTTGGCCATTTATTTCAAGTTTCAGTTTAAGAATCTTGATCTTAGCTCTTTTTGTTTCCCTATTTTAGGCAAATTGCATGTTTACTAGTGTGCTTTCAGCAAACGTTACCTTTTATTTATATTAAGTGCTCGAACAAAGCATACAGTAAATCACTGCAAAAGGAACGATAAAAAACAAACAGCGGCTGTAACATTGCGGTGTGGGAAGACCAGGAAAAGAGACCACATGAGGAGGAAGAACACAGCAGGTACACATGGATGCTTTACTGACTAGAACTTAAAACGATAGTAAGGAGAAATGAATGGCATTCCAAAATAAGAGAGTTTGATCTCAACATTCCTGGCAACATACGAGCATTATGAATACACAAAGGAATTTATTAATGTTTTAAATAAATTCACTAGAACTATTACCTCTTCTTGGTAAATTCTTCTTTGGGATACCCAATTTAAAATACAAAGAAATAGAAAAAAAAACAACCTGTAAACTCAGATGGCGGAATGTAATTCAACAGAGATAGCATAAAGCTATTGATCAGGAGTTGGAACAACCTGCAGAGGCAGCGGTGGGATGAACTTTAATGAATTCTGAAGATAACGGTGTGAAATGACAAAATACTTGGTGGTGTTTTCAGAGAGAGCTGAAGTTTAAGATGACTCTAGGTTCAGTCCTGACCAGGCAAGCACAACCCTCTTCCTACCAAATTTCACCACCATTAAAGAAAAGGAACAGCCATGCCCATGGGGCCCCTCTTGCATTTGTCACACGCCACAGCCAGCCTTTCCAGAGCCATACGTTGTGGACATACGCTGTGCTACGCTCAGACATCACGGATCCTGATGGGGTGTTCTTTTAGTGACGCCAGCAAGTGGTGAGAAGTCTGGCCAAGGCAGCGAGACTTTCCTGTTCCACATTTCCACAGGACAAGAGCAAACTCACTGGTGATGACAAACGATTATATGAAGTTCTCCAGCAATTGGAAGGTGAACTCAAATTTGAAGTCATCTTACAACAAGATCGTTCATAGATTTCTGAAAAGGATATATAGTTTTTAAATTTTGTAGTGAAAAATACGTGAACTGGGCATTCATAAAACCAAGTCTTTTGTTACCAGATAGCTTTCAGATAAAAGAACTCTGATACAAAACACCCTAATTTCAGAGTTTATTCCCATCTGTAGGTTCCTGACCGCTTCGGGTTCTCCCAGCGAGCCATGGCAACCTCCCTGAGAAGGGACACCCAATCCTTCCCGCTTTGCCTACAAGAGTGACTGCTATGGGTACGCTGTCTTGGATAAATGGGACAAGATCAGAGTCAGCATCATCCCTTAAAATTCCGGTGCAATGGAAAACCCAGCAAAACATGACAAATGGTATCTATACTCTTGTTCAGGAACCTACTGAATCACATCGCACTGCTGGACCTCTGGTAAGGTTATGGACTGACTTTGAAAGGGAAGAGAGGCAGCCAAGCACAAAGTCCAACAACTGATTTAAAGCTTTGAAGAAGAATATTACTTGACAGTAATCTTTCCATGAAATCGTGAAGTGGAGCATTACCCCAATCTGATGGTCTATCAAGCTTAGCGCTGATTAATTTTATCATTCAGCTAATCCCAGCCATGTCATGGATTCCAGTTCATTTTCCAGAACAAAGAGGAAACACCAGCATTGACCAGGTGAGTTAAAGCGTTGACAATCCATTGGCCACACACCAAAATCTGATTTGCAATTCTGTAAAGAGACCTGGCACCCACGCCTCGCACATAAGCCCAGGAGCTTACCTAGGCTGTTTCTAGGGACTGTGCTTCATATTTTTCGTCTGAATGCTAAAAGGTCCAAAATATTTGTGGGGACAGAGTAAACTAACTCATACCTGGTTTTGAATAGGGATCATACCAACTATGAATCAACATGCCATTTTCTGCAATCAGAATGTCAGTTTTCTTTTAATTAGCTGAAAAATAACTTCCTCAGCCTAAACATCCAGAAAAAACATTTGAGCAGATGGAGGAATAGGAATAGATAAAAGTGTTTTTCTCCACTGCAATAAGAGAAACACTTCAAGGAACCTTTGAGTGAAAATAAGGATATTATGGTCAGCCTGTGACCTTACTCAGAAAGAGGAGTAATGACAGAGAGGGACAAGAAGAGAGAGCGGTCACCAGAAGATGCTGCACTCTGCTGTCAGACAGCTCTGACTTGGGAACACGGAAGACCAAGGTATGAAAGTCCTGGAAACGCCATCTCTGTCTGGGCCCTGTGTCTGGTGGGCGGTGGGTCCCTCCAACCCACCCTGGTGACATCCCCGTTGGAGGGGCTGGGGGGTCCCAGCCCAGAGCTGCCCTGCCGCTGCGGCAGTCCCCGTGCAGCTGCTCTGGAGGCACAGGAAGAGCTCTACCTCCTCCCTGGCTCCATGGGACGGCCTGACGGGAACCCCTTAGTAACGAGCCACAACACCCTCATAAATCTCCCAAAGAACTAATACTTTGTGGAGGCGGAGTAATTGATAAATGAGTAATTTTTCATTTATGCCTAAATTAGAAATGCACTTGATCTTTCAGCGGGGCGATGCGCAGATAACCTATAGCACCCCATGAATAACTACGCTTGCCAACTTTTTTCATGCCTTTGATTTAAAAACTCTAATTAAAACTCAGCAGCAGCAACTAAGCTAAATAAATTTGGCAACCATTGTTGCAAACACACAGCTCATTTGTGTTATTTATTTACTCAAGATTACAAGCTAAGAGAAATGGTAACAAATAATTCCTTTCACCTCACCAGCTAATATATACTAATTATAACCTGACTGTCTCAAATACTGAGCAACTGCAAGTCCCAATTATATCAAGGAAGATTAAGACTATTAGCAACAATGAAAACCATGGTCATAAAGAAACCGGCGCAAGAATCAAATCTTGGTGGCACATATAGATAATAAATAAAAAGGATGGAACACACAGCAAAAAAAATAGGGTTTTGGAGTGCCACATATGAACGATGACTTTAGACTCTTCTCTTTAATTAACTATAGACCATTAAAAATGACCCTCAGTTTTGTCTTTGGCCATCATTCCCCCTTGTCAGGAATTAATTGATCTTTCAATATATCCTGTAATAAAAAAGGTATGCTATATTTTCCTCCTGAAGAATGAACTTCAGCAGATATGCTTTGGAATTATTAGATATACAGCTAAAGTTATTCAAGCCGTATACAAAAATGATACATATACAAGCATCTAAGGACTTAAATTTATATTGAAAAAAGTAATGACTTTATACGCTGATAAGGACTACACTGACAGAAAACCATTTTTTCTACCTTTTTTTTCCAGCAAGCTTCTGCTAATACTGATAACATGAATCCTGATTATCACTCATTTTTATCTACCTGCAGACATGGAGTTTCAAGTCCACGAAGGCACACTCACAGCCCCTGTTCTGCAGGAGTTAACTGGGAGCTGGGTCTGTGGACCAAAGCGTATGTGACAGCCCTCGATGGCCCGAGGGTAAAAGGCAGGGCACTCAGCACTGCTACCTTACTTTTAATTATAAAACACTACACTTTAAAAGAATGAAAAAGTCTCTCTTTTTTTCCCTTCTCCATTTTTCTAGACCTCACCACTAAAGAACAAGCATCAGCTGAAGGAGCCTCTCCACTGAAACTGCTGTAAAGCAGAATATTCAAGAATTTCAAGCGAAGTTCTTCAGATGACTGCCACGCATCTCCATGTCCGCCCGGTAACGGCAGGTCTTACTGACACCGCTCCCAGTGACAGCCAACGTAAAGTGTCAGGAAATAAAAGGAGCACTGACACAGCACAGAGCGGCTCCCAGTAACAGGGAGTCCACAAAAACTGGTGAAACAATCTTTGGAGAGGAATGTGGTGGAACAAACTATGGAGTCACCGCGGCACTGGCAAGCAGCAGCTGATGTGCTGGGCTGCTGCTGGACTGGTCACCAGCATGGACAAAATCAGGATGGAACAATCAAGGTACGGATAGCAGGAATAAAGATGGCATGGTGAGGAGCATGGGATGGGAAAGTCAGACTGGGAAAATTGCCTTCCTGAACCGGTTGTCTCAGGGAGGACCAGCAGCAAACACCTTGGGTCACTGAGAAGCCAAGGGGTGTCTTTTAAACTGCATTTTGAACCACCTAACCTGTCCTACTGCAGAGCAGCACGTTCTTCTTCAGCCACCACTCTCCCCTCCAGGAATCTACAGCGTTTAGCAGGTGACTGGCAGAGTTGCATTTAGATGGAAGCATCCATGTTTCCACCAAACCTTTTAGTGCTCACTAGAGATTTACTACCGGGATTTTCCCCCCTCTCTACAATTTGGTTGGATAATCATTAGCTATGCAGTATCTGCTTTTGTGTAGCAGCTGAATAATGCATTGGTAATGCATTCCTAATGTACATCTTGGAAATAAGTGCAATAAAACATAAAGACAGTGTCTTCCGAGATGTATTTTATACATCAAAGATTCATCCAGTCTAAGAAGACACCTGTTTCTTCATCGCCAATAATGCAAACGGTCTATCCCCCAGGTCAGCATTTCAGTGAAATTACGGATTTTGTAATAAACATCAATTTTAACACAATACTTTATATGAAATCTCAAAAGGAAAACCATTCTAATTACAGTTATCAAACTTTCACTGAACGTATTTAGCGACCAATTTTCATTCGATATTTGAGTTTAAATAGAGGCAAATAATCACAGGGCTTTAGTTACTTGCTGCAGCTTCCAGCTTGCGCTTGTGAGGAGGATCCTCGATGATCCGGTTTATGTCACCGCGGTGCTTCAGGTCCACCGGCTTCTCCCAGACTGACAGCTGCATTGTAGGGTTGAAGAAGAAGACCCGGTCATCTCCAGTCCAGACTACACACCTATTCCAAGTGATAAACTATGCTTAGATAACGTCAGATACACCCACGAACAAGAAATTAACCCACAGCCGGCTTATTGCTTCTCCGTTTGCAGTGCCTGGGTGAGACCCCTCTCTGACTGACAGCCGGCCCCAGGCCCTGCCAGCCCACCCCACTCACCTCGGGTAGACTAACACTCTCTCATCAGTAAAATGTCAAAGAAATGGTCTGAACACCCCCAAACAGCAGTAGGTGAAATATCCTACCACGGAAGGGAAAAAGAACCAGGCGAGGAGGAACGCCGTGGTGCTTGCAGCAAGAGAAGCCACAGGAAAATACATTTTGTGCTCTAAAGCGTGGCTGAGAGCAGCAACGGCAGAAGCCTCGGCAGCGGGGCTGGGCAGGTGGCCGTGGGAGGAGGTGGAACCACGGCATCCCCGTGGCATCCCCGTGGCATCCCCGTGGTGCTCTGCACAGGACAGGTACAACCAGCCACCGCAGAAGTCTCCCACAAAGGTTTAGGTTGATTTTTATGGGCTCTGTTTCAAATTTGAAAAACGCGACCATGCGCTGCTGTGCAAACTGCAGTTTCTTGACTCGGTCAGTAAAAATGTGCATGACAGCAGTTCAATTTTTTTTGTCCTGACATTCATTTTAAATCTGCTAAAATAACATGAAAAGTATCGCACCATCCTTAATAGACATTAAAAAAACTCAAGTTGTACTTCACTAAATCTGTATGTAAATAAACAAACAGAATACCAATCTCAAGCCCACACTTTCTGAATTGTAATGAACAGTAACAAACATCATACACACACTCCGACTTCCTCACACATACACTTAAAATAGGAAAATGTCGGTCTCTCTGAAGCATAAATACCCGGAAGGAAAAAGTCTTATCATTAGATGCTCTGATGCTTAATTGTTATTAAAAGTAGGGAACAAAACTGGTTAAAAAAAGTCTGGTCTTGGTAAAAGACTGCAAATAGGAAAAATGCTCCATCACTACCTTATTTCATAAGGTAGGCAAGGTTTGGTAACATTCCTGAAAATTTTTCTGCCATTAAAAATTATGGTCCAGCTACTTCTGACAGGTGCTTGCTGATGTCACATCAACTACGGGCCCCGCAGAAGCACGGAGCCAACATATAGGTGGAGAGTGGTTGAAGTGAATTCAAGATTTTTGGCATTTGTGTTGCATACATAGTTTCAACCTATCAGGAAAACTTGTAAATTATGATTGAAGCACCCTACAGGCATGCTCCATGTTCCATCACGAGCCATGGGGCAGGCGAGACATTGTCACCTCAGAACAGGGGACAACTGTCAGCGTGAGGACTACGTCTCCTCTCTCTGGTCCCAAGGACCAGGTTTGGATGCTTTGTCTCATACCCAGAGTACTCACTGGGTCACTGAACAGTCCTCTGGAAACCCAGAAATGTAAGGTTTCTCCTTAGAGATTAAAATACCCCAAGTTTGGGTCCGAGAGCGGTGCACTTCAGCGGAGGTACCGGATGCCCACTCACTGCTCAGCAGCCATGGGAGAAGAGGGGGTGCTGTGAGACTCCCCTGTGGGTACCACTGGCTCTTTTCTGTAAGAACGGATGAAACCATAACCTGCTGATGACACTGTCAGACTCAAACGGTTCCTCTGCACCACACCATAGAGTACCAACTGCCAGGAGGAGAAATGATTGATGTAAATCAGGTATTTACGACGTTGAGATGAAGTAGGACATTGGACTGTGCTTACAGCACCGATTTGCAAAATGGCTTAATATTGATAATAACAAATAATGGTTGATACCTAGGTGGAGTGCCTTAGCCAAAGATCGCACTGATGTCAGCAACTAAGTATAAACTAATGATTGTATGGGTAAAGGATGTAAAAAGTCCTTCTAGTCAACTGTTCAGGACAGAAAGTGAAAAAAGTTTTTATTTATTTAAAAATGACATGAGAGCTCTAGTTACCCAGCATGTAGTGACCGGAATGGGAACATGGTCAGGAAACTTGGATCACGAGACACAACCTATTTTCAGTGATACAACCTGAAATCAACACCATTCTGGCAAGACAGTAAGAGTCATCCACTGCCAATGAAATAACTAGGAGAGAAAGAGGATCTGGCCCTAAAGAGCAAGAACATTTCTTACAGATCTTGTATTTACTCTCTGATCCACCCAAGCAGCATCCAAACTGAGATGCGGTGAGGCAGAGCCCAAGGAGCACGGCCAAACGCAGCCCTGCTCGCAGCAGGCAAGCGGCCACGCACGCCCACAAAACCAGACAGAGAAACCATCGGTTGCCTCCTGCCAGCCCCGGTCCCTGGCCGAGCTGGAGCTCCACAGCACCCTGCCCTGCCCTCGCAGATCCCAAGGAGTCGGCTCACATCGCATCCATGGCTACCTCCCTGCATTTTCCTTAAGTACGTGATTGATGAGGAAAAGCTCCAGCAGAAGCTGGAAGAGGAAGCCAGCACGGCTGCTCAACACCCAGTATTTTCCCCACGGAGCAGACCACTAATGCATGTTGGGCAAGGGAAAGGGCACTGATGAATGGCTTCTAGCAGGTCTGATTGCATTTGCTTACCACGGTGATCCTGGCACTGGAGTGGATGCCACGGGCTTGTTGCCATTTGATGTGCTGTCATCTTCGTCTACTAGTTTAAAAGAATGATCCTTGAAAGACAGATAGAGATTAGTCAACAAATAAAGCCGATGCAGAAGACTGTTACACAAATCACTCCCTTTAACTTGAAGTGGATCACCCTTCCTGCCACTATTCCATGAGCAGCTTTATGGACAACCAGCTACCTTGAGAATAGTCCAGATAAACAGGAAATAATAAAAATGTCGACCCACTTACAGCAATACAAATGAAAAACCAGCAGACATGCTTTTGTCCATGCCAATAGCTCACTTGGGAGAGCAGGTATAACTCTCCACACTGCCTTAACGAGGAGAATTGCCTCGTCAGAAACGAAGTGTTCCCCAGGGGTCAGTTCTGGGTCCGGTCTTGTTCAACCCATTCATCAAGGCCCTGGATGACGGGACGGAGCGTACCTTCAGCAAGTTCGCTGATGATACGAAACCAGGAGGAATGACTGATCCACTGGACGGCTGCGCTGCCATTCAGTGAGACCTG